CCCCGCACTCGCCCCAGCCAGGGCCTCCCCTCTCCCCACCGGGTGCTCGCTCCAGCCAGGGCCCCTACCCTTCCACCCACCAGGACTGCTGCGGGCGTCATGGCACCTTCAGACGCAGCATAGCTTTTGTCCCAGGCTCTGTCTCCCCAAGGCTGGATTGCAACTCCAAGCAAGGTGAATCATCTCGCAAAGTTCGAAGAGAATTTTGTCATCTACCCACAATGTGTAGAGTGTGGAATAAATGTTTTATTTCAGGCTCTAAAGGCAAAACTGGAAAATCTCCCCATTTTGTGGTTATTACCAGGGATTAAAATGAGTTGCCTGGTGGCCACTGGCAGTTATATGTCCTCCAGTCAGAGTGGTGGCTCTCCTGGCCCTCCAGCCTGGACACGAAAGGCTATAGTGACCCCTCCTGGCCGGCAGAGGTGGTTGCCCCCGGTGGCCAGGCTCTGGGGGCAGGACTCCTGCCTTCCAAAGGGGTGGAGTCTCTAGGCCCCAGGGAGGGAGGATTTGAGGGGCATTTTTCCTTCTCCCTCTTAGCCCCACCAGGCCCCAGGATTGTTGTAAATTATTGGCCTCTAGGACCTCTTCTTCACCCGTGGATGGGTGAATACGTGGGAAAACGTTCTCACAAAACGACTTCAGCATCTAATTGAACTTAGGAGGAGGCCAGGTGTGTGTGGGGGGCGGCGGCGTGGTGCTTGCTTTACTCTGCTTTGAAGCTAGAAAACACCGAGGTGCCAGCCTATGGGCCCCCGCTGGAGTCTGGTGGGCCTTGCTGGCTGCCTTCCTGTACCCCTGGTTTTCCAGTTCATCATCGTCTCATTTTGTCTGCACCCTTTACCTGGGTCCGTCAGATGGGGGCCTGGCCCAGGGCAGCCCTGGGACCAGCACCGTGGTAGCCACCTGCTCCCCTTGGAGCAGGAGCTCACAGAATGAGGCCGGATGAGGCAGGCCGTCTCTGGTCCCTTCCCTGCTGGTGCGCGCGCACGCATGCGTGTGTGTACCACCTCTCCTTAGCCCTGTCGCCTGTGCCCTGGCCTCCCTGCGCCCACTGCGGTGCTGCGGCGCACAGCCCTGGGGCGCAGTGCCTGCAGACAAGCTCACCTTTTTGGAAGTCAGGGTGTCTTGGCTGCTGAGCAGTTGTCCCTCTTCTGCTGACTTGGGCTTTGTTTGTTCTTCATTTTCTAATCCTAATTAATTCCTAGGTGGTGGGTTAGGTTGTTTTGAGATTTTTCTGGTTTTGAGGTAGGCCTGTATCGCTATGAACTTCCCTCTTAGGACTGGTTTTGCTGCATCCCATAAATGTTGGAAAGTTGTGTTTTTATTTTTGTTTGTCTCAAAGTATTTTCTGATTTCCTTTTTGATTTCTTCATTAACCCATTGGTGTTTTTTTGTTTTTGTTTTTGTTTTTTTTTTTTTGGTAGCATGTTGTTTAGTCTCCGTGTGTTTGTATTTTTCCCATTTTTCTTCCTAGAATTGCTTTCTAGTTTTATACTGTTGTGGTTGGAAAAAAAGGCTTGATATAATTTCTGTACTCTTAAATCTGTCAAGTCTTGTTTTGTGGCCTAGCACATGATCCATCCTGGTGAATGTTGAAAAGAATGTGTATTCTTCTGCTTTTGGATGGAATGTGCTCTAGTTATCTATTAAGTCCAACTGACCTAACGTGTCATTTGAGACTACTGTTTCCTTATTGATTTTCTGGATGATCTGTCCATTGATTTAAAGGGGTGTTAAAGTCCCCTGCTGTTAGTTGTGTTATTGTCAGTTTCTCCCTTTACATCTGTTAATATTTGCCTTGTACATTTAGGTGCTTCTATATACGTTTAATGAACGTTACTTTGTCTTCTTGTATTGATCCCTTTATCATTATATAACGCCCTTCTTTGTCTACTATTGTAGACTTCGTTTTAAAAGTCTACTTTGTCTGGTGGCAGGAAGTGAGAACTGACGGTGGGGAGAGGAGGGAGACAAAAGACAATGAAGAGGGCTTCCCAGGTGGCGCAGTGGTTGAGAGTCCGCCTGCCGATGCAGGGGACGCGGGTTCGTGCCCCGGTCCGGGAAGATCCCACATGCCGCGGGACAGCTGGGCCCGTGAGCCATGGCCGCTGGGCCTGTGCATCCGGAGCCTGTGCTCCGCAACGGGAGAGGCCAGAACTGTGAGAGGCCCGCGGACAGGGGAAAAAAAAAAAAAAAAAAAGACAATGAAGGTGCTGCCCAGAACTAAGAGGGGACGACCATTTATTGTGACCTCCCAGGACACAGACATGTGTTTAAAGTGGTCCCTCCCGTTCCCAGCAATTTCAGAAAGTGGGCAGTTTGACAGGCAAGCACTTGAGGTGTATGGAAATGGCCCCTCCGTGGAGTAGTTTGCTTTTCAGAATTCTGGGGCAGGGAGGTGGCATTACCATAATCGAGGGAGGTTTTCTTGCTTGAGAGAAGGAATAGTGCTTTAGGGGACAGTGCCTGTGGCAGTGGCTGCTCCTGTTTGTACGGGAATGGAACACCCTGGCCCTTAGTGGTGGATGTTTGCAGGTAGCATCAGGCAGGGGTGTGGCTGCCTCCAGCTCTAACCCTACATGCCACCGGTGGGAAAAGATAAACCCAACTGACCCTGTGGGAAGTCAGGATTTGGGGGTTTGGTTCCTGGGATGCTCCCCTGGCTGCTGGGAATTGGGACCTCACCCCCAAGCCTGTGCCGGGCCCCTGGTGGCCATCAGGCTGAAGGCCGGCTCAAGTGAATCAGACAGACCTGGCTGAGTGGCTTCATTGTTTTAATCCAACCCACACCCCCTCTCCCAGGCTGCCCTCCACCCTCTGGCTAGTCTAGATGTGCCTGGTTATAAAGCGCCTCGATTATTTGGGAGAACAAAAAAGCAATCACTGTTCCCGTGAAAATAAGTGGTA